TGTTGGCCATAATGGGTCCTAGTTCGTGTGGCAAAACATTGTATATATATGTCCACGTTTTCGTAAAGTCCCCATATAACGGTAGCTCCCGATATTCGGTATTTTGATGATTTTTGCCATATTTTTTCACTGATTTGTCTGAAAATTGGTTTTTGTAGGTCATACTGGGTCCTAGTTCGTGTGGCGAAACATTGTATATATAGGTCCACGTTTTCGTTTAGTCCCCATATAGCGGTACCTCCCGATATTCGGTATTTTGATGATTTTTGCCATATTTTTTCACGGATTTGTCTGAAATTTGGTATTTGTAGGTCATAATGGGTCCTAGTTCGTGTGGCGAAACATTGTATATATACCTCCCGTACCTCCCGATATTCGGTATTTTGATGATTTTTGCCACATTTTTTCACGGATTTGTCTGAAAATTGGTATTTGTAGGTCATATTGGGTTCTAGCTCCGGTGGTGAAACATTACATGTATAGTTCCAAGTTTTTGTATAGCCCCATATAGTCAATTTTCCCGATTTGTGGGTAATAATGAGCTATAATGTTTCCTTTACCCTAAGGTGGGGGGTATTAAAAGTTTGGCCCGGCCGAACTTAATCTTTTTTTACGTGTTTGTCCTTGCAAATAAATTGGTAAAATAGGAAGAGACATTCAAACACGTAGAATTTTTTTATAAAAGAATCAACGATTGTAGAAGAAGAGGTGAAAAATAGCGAATCCTTAAACCGAAGACGGCGTTGCCAACTCTCTATGTGAAGGCGTATGTTTAGTTAAGGGGTAACTTTTATAAAGTGTTATATGCAGCGTATAACATTATTTCTAGACACAAACCGTTATCCGTTAAATTCTATAGAACAAATTAAAAAAGTCTCAGCAAAGGTATCAGTCGTTTTTGCTGACAGATGTATACCCTCAGCCAATGTTCGATTATTTAAATATATTTTTTACTTCTGTTATAATTATTCAAATTGTTGACCCTCTATGGATCATATAATACGATATAAATGTTGCGACGAGCTTGGTTACTTCCTTCTCTTTACATGAGATATGTGATAATTTTTAGAAAATTTTAAGATGTGCTTAAGTTTCCAGATAAAGTCGACCGAAGTATTCCATTTTCATATTTCATCTAATACAGATAAAAACATTGATATGGGCAAAATTACAAAAAAAAATCGAACATTTGTATCCAATTCAATGCAAAATCAAAAATTCCACATTCATCTCTGGTTTCTGGTTGAGAGAAATATTTTTTTATGAGCTTCGTGGATATTCAAAATGTTGACCCTTTGTGGGGGAGGTACCAGAAGTGGTCGACCGATATATCGCATCTTCACAGCAGATGTTGTGTTAGTAGAAATAATGGGGGTGTGTGAAATATGAAGAGAACCGTACACTTATTTTGGATTTTATGATAGTTTTGGTTGTTCAAAATTTTTACCATTTGTGGGGGAGGTACCAGAAGGATCGGAGCGATCTCTACCATTTTTATAACAGATTTTGTGTTGATAGAAACATTGAGATGTGTCAGGTCTGAATGGAATCGGATATTAATTTCGCTTTTTTTGAGCTTCGTGGATATTCAAAATTTTGACCTTTGTGGGGGAGGTACCAGAAGGAGTATAACGATATATTTCATCTTCACACCAGACCTTGAACGAATAAAAATATTGTGATGTGAGTAAATTGAAGACAATCGGACTCTTACATTTCATTTTATAAGAGTTATGATTATTCAAAATTGCGAAACTTTTTGAGGAGGTACTTGATGGAGTGGACCGATATTGTCACTTTTCGCACCTGACCTTGTATTGATGCAAAGTTGAAGCAAAATCGAATAAGCAAAATAAATATATATATATATATATATATATATATATATATATATATATATATATATATATATATATATATATATATATATATATATATATATATATATATATATTTATACCCTCCACCTTGGAAAGGAGGGTATATTAACTTTGTCATTCCGTTTGTAACATCCTTAAATATTCGTCGTAGACCCCATAAAGTATATATATTCATAATCAGCATAAAATTCTAGGTCGACTTAACGATGTCCGTCTGTCTGTCTGTCTGTTGAAATCACGATACAGCCCACATTATTTGACGTAGAGTGCCAACATTTAGCACAGCAATTTTTATTGTGTCTAGGATGGTTGGTATTGAAAATGGTATAGTCTCCATGGTATTCTGGTATAGTCCCCATACAACGGTAACTCTCGATATTGGGTATTTTGATGATTTATGCCACATTTTTACACGGATTTGTCTGAAAAATTGTATTTGTAAGTCATGACGAGTCCCTGTGCATGTGGCAAAATATTGCATGTATAGGTCCCCGTTTTGGTATAGCCCCCATATAACGGTACCTCCCGATATTCGGTATTTTGATTATTTTGATTGGTATTTGTTGGTCATAATGGGTTCCAGCTCCGGTGGCGAAAAATTGCATGTATGGGTCCACAATTTGGTATAGCCCCCATATAACGGTACCTCCCGATATTCGGTATTTTGATGGTTTTTACCACATTTTTTCACTGATTTGTCTTGAAAATGGTATTTGTAGGCCAGAATAGGTCCTAGTTCGTGTGGCGAAATATTGTATGTATAGGTCCACGTTTTGGTATAGTCCCCATATAACGGTACTTCCCAATATTCGGTATTTTGATGATTTTTGACACATTTCTTCACGGATATGTCTAAAAATTGGTAGTTGTAGATCATATAGGGTCTCAGTTCGTGTGGCGAGTCATTGTAATTATAGGTCCACGATTTGGTATCGGTACCTCCCGATATTCGGCATTTTAATGGTTTTTGCCACATTTCTTCTAATGTTTCCTTTGCCCTAAGGTGGAGGGTATAAAAGTTTGGCCCGGCCGAACTTAATGTTTTATTACTTGTTTTTTTTTTTTTTTTGAAAAATTCGACCTTTTGTGGTGGAGGTACAAAAAGGAGTGGATCGAACTCGATTTAAGTTTAATAATATTATTACGATGTACCATGTTTGGACCAAATAGGGTACTCCCTTCGAGAGTTGTCGTGGCGCACCAGCCGGCAGACGGGCGGATGGACGCCCCTAGAACGACTCCAAATATCCTGAAACGGATTTGACCGAAAGAGACCTCGGGTCTAAAACCGTTATTTCGATGAGGCACGTTTTGGCCGTATCAAATGATATATAAGGCTGGGTTTTTGGAAAACGGTACAAAAAGTATTAAAATATACTAAATATGGCACTCTTTGTATTTGAGGAATGGGTTTTACCGATTAAGTGTACGAAAAGTACTAAAATGTACTCCATTTGGTACCATTTCGCATTATGTAAACGGTAAGGGCTAAAAAGTTAAAATTTGGTGTGGAAATGAAGGTTGAGGAGTAGAGTCGCCGTTGGTAACTGTGGTTAAGGTTAATATGGATGTGCTTTTGGAAATCTGCACTATATGCTAGGAACACAATTGGAGCGAACGACGAATTTTTTCGCGGCGTATGTTCGTCGTCAAAAATAAAACACATATGTGTATATGGAAGTGCACACAATCACGGCACCGGCGAAAATTTCGTCGGTCGCCGCGAACTCAATTAGCTTTATTTCTATTTCATACGCCGGCGACCGGCGAACAAAACAGTACAAGGTGGCCATACTTGTACGAATTTTATGTGTTTTAGTAAATAAAGTTACTTTTTACTTTAAAATTTGTTATGGTCACTCTACTATCTGTTACTCGTATAAAAAAAACATAATTAATTTGTTTATTTATTTGTGTACTTGCGCCTGAGTGAAGATGGATATCAGTGAATTTATAATAGAGAAGATGGACATAAGTGAAATTATAATAGAGAACGTAAAGAATTATGTGTTCTTGTATAATTCATTGTAGTCAACAAATGAGCAAAAAGTAAACAACTTCATCAGCTGTTTTATAATTTCGTCGGTATTGTGTTCCATACGACGAATTTTCGCGGCTTATTTTGTCGCCGCGTAGGGCGAAATTCGTCGTTCGCTCCAATTGTGTTCCTAGCAATAATTGTTCAAAAATTACTAAGTGGTACTAAATTGGGGATTGAACGAAGGGATAGAGCTGGAATACCGAAATTTGACATGGAGGTCTGTATTGGCACGCGGATTTAGATATGAAGGTGATTTTGAAAATGTGAAGGTGATTTTTGGATCACTGTTCGTATCTAAGATGGTGATATGTAGATTGTTTTGGATATGTGTACTAAAAGTTACTATTTTTGGAAGTGGTTGAAGGGATAGAGCTGAAATTCTGAAATTAAAGTCACTGTTGGTTTCTAGGGTTTACATTTGGAAATGTTGACAGAGTTTTGGACAGAAAAATGGGATGTGGGTCCATTTTGCAGTGGTTTTACTAATATCCTTTTCAGTGAACTTTAAAATGAAAGATTTTGAAAACATTTTTGTGTACAAGGTAATCATTTTCCCATTATAATTTCGGAAACAGGAGAAACTTGAATCTTGGAGGTCTGAAAACTTAGTACGATGCATGGTACAATGATATCGAGGCAGGGCTATGATACCATAATAGCAAAATTAAGGGGGCAAAGTCATTTCAAATAAGCATATCCATGAATAATTTTGAAAATATTGTCAACATATGATTGCATGATTTTACCTTCTTAATTCTACCATGAATACATTTGATTTTATTTTCTATTTATTTTTCTTACTTTCTTAGCTTAATAAGTAAACTTTATTTGTTATATGTATGTAATTAATATAATTCATAAATTGTGCAAAAACGACTAGCAAAAACATATCGTTTTCCAACACTCAACACCCTCTTTTTCGTCTATTTCCGTATTTCTAAATCCCTACAGTTGTTTTCGATCTATGAAACCCTTCGAAAATCGGTGATTTTGTTTTGATTATGATGCTTTATCATTTACTGCATTTTGCTCCGTGTTTCTTGTTTTTGAACGGCGTCAATTTCCTACCAAGGCCTTTGTAATCTGCAGCACTGCGTGCTAAACCCACAAAAACAATAAGAAAGAATATTTTATTTATAAATGGGAATGAGCAGATAACGCAAATAAAACGAACGGAAAAGAAAATGTGTTCAATTGCTGGCATTTCTCTATCCGTAAAGCTTATGTAAAACGAGGAATTTAGAAAAAAAAATTCTGAATTTATTGTCACACAGTGAGTAGGTGCAAAATAAAACTAATTTTTAATGGAAAATTGTATAAAGATTTGTGATTTTTGTAGATTTAATTGGCAGAGAAAGATGAACGGAGTTATTGAACAGGAGAATGTGGCGTTGCCTGCCATGCAAATGGCTGAACCATTGCACATACAACGTTTGGAGGCCGCACTAGATATGCGTCCATTTATGCAGCAGGCACGTGAAATACTTTCAAGGCCGCTAACCAGCCCGGAAGAGTCGGAGGCCGATGACAGCCCCGGTGAAGAGTCTTACGACGATGAGAGTGCCATGGGTGGCAGTCGAAAGAAGAAATCGAAGAAATTGGGCACCAAACAAGGTGAGTTGCAAAGAAAATATTTTCAATAATTTTTTTCCAATTGGAAAAAATTTGATTCGTCCATAGCATACCATACCTTTTCATGCTGTTTACTCCGAAATGCGCTTTTTCAAGTTGCCCATACCGATGGACTCCCTTTTAAGACGTTTATATGGATATACTGTTTTAAAAGTTTCCTATAGAGATCTCATATAAAATGTTCTTGTTTGTAAATACCCTTTCCAGATTATCTTCTAGTCTGGAAAGATAACCCTGGAAAGATAACCCTTCCTCTAGCTCGTCTGGAAAGTCTCCCTTCAGTTCGTCTGTAGAGTCTCTAAAAACGTCTGTCCCCAACAAATCCTCCCTTTATCTACTTTTCAAAGACTACTTTCCGAGTAAAAGGATTCTTAATCCGTTTCAGCCATTGAAGGAGCTTTCACATTTTTGATTCAATGCCAAGCTCGACTTCTTAATCTTTTTCCATTTTTCATTTTAGAACGCCAAGCTGTTAAATCGTCCTTATACAACTTCAGTGAGCTGACGGCCGATCGTGAATGGTTATATGATGTGATTATGAGCGATACAGATACTGAGACAGATATAAGCGATGAAGATGACTACGTCAAGGAAATGTTGAAGACCCATATGAAACAACAAAAACTACGGGAAAACTACTACAAAAAGGCAACAGTGAGTATTGATTTTCTTCTCCTGAAATCGATTTAAAATAGTTTAATAATGTTTCTCCGCTTCCAGAATACTCAATATGCCTACTATGGCAGTGGACTTCTATCGAATCATGACATGTTCACGGAACACCAACAATCGATTGTGGGTGTAAGGAAGCGCAAACGCCGCACAAAGAAAGAGAAGACCATAAAAATTGCCCCCTTGCCTAAGTTACCAAAAATGCCGAAAATACGTAAACCACGTAAATCGAAACATAAGCCCTTGCAAGATGCACAACATGGCTCCAAGGAGGCTAATGAAAGCATGAAACCTATGGCTGGCAGTTCTAGTAATTTCAATGAGGATGATGAAGATGTTGATGTCCAATCAGATGTTGAAACTTCAATGACATTTGATTCTCGTGATATGTCCGGGATATCAGCATTACCTACTGGCTATTCGGGTAGGGGAAGAAGACGTAAGAGCCAACAGGGATTGCCACGAACCCCCGAAGCCTTGGCGGCACGTCGTAGAAGAGTGTGGCAATTGATGGCCAAAAAGGAATTGGGCAGATGTCAAAGGGCACGCAGTAATAATCACAAAGAAATGGTACAAAATTGTAAACGTGCCGCCACAATGTGCATGAAGGTGGTGCGGCAAAAGGCAATGATTTCCCAAAAAGTTATGAAAGAAACAGTGTGGCGTGCCAAACGTTTGACACGTGAAATGCTCTCCTATTGGAAACGTTATGAGCGTGTTGAACGTGACACACGAAGGCGAATGGAAAAAGAGGCAGAGGAACAACGTAAAATGGATGTGGAATTGATTGAAGTGAAGCGCCAACAGAGGAAACTTAATTTCTTGATAACGCAAACTGAACTCTATGCCCATTTTATGTCTCGGAAATTGGGTCAGGGTACTGAGGCGGAACAGTTGCGCATCCTCAATCAATTGGATGAAGAGGCAAATCCTCGTTTGGCGGCCTATGATGATTATGATGCTGAAGAAATGAAGCAATTGGCCCAGCAACATGCCGAGGAGGCTTTTGTCAACGATCAAAATAAGGCCAAGAAATTTGATGTCAGTGTTAAAAAGGAGTCGGGTCATAGTGATTACATTAAAGAGGAGGATAAGCCCCAGTCGTTGTTGACAGAAAAAACGCAAGCCGATTTGCCGCAACCTACCATTTTCCGGGGCTCTTTGAAGGCTTACCAGATTAAGGGTAAGGATGGAATAGAAGCTTGGAATGTTAAGATTTTAATGTATTCTCTTTGTTTTTATAGGTATGACCTGGCTTGCGAACATCTATGACCAGGGCATCAGTGGCATTTTGGCCGATGAAATGGGTTTGGGTAAAACTGTACAATCCATTGCCTTTCTTTGTCACATTGCCGAACACTATGGTGTTTGGGGTCCATTCCTGATCATATCCCCCGCCTCGACGTTGCACAATTGGCAGCAGGAATTGGAACGTTTTGCCCCGGATTTCAATGTTGTACCCTATTGGGGTTCACCCAATGAACGTAAAATCCTACGACAATTTTGGGAACAGAAGGATTTGCATACCCGCGATGCCAGCTTTCATGTGGTCATCACATCTTATCAGCTGATTGTTTCCGATTACAAATATTTCAATCGCATCAAATGGCAATATATGGTTCTGGATGAGGCTCAAGCCATTAAGAGTGCCTCATCGATGCGTTGGAAGCTTTTATTGGGTTTCAATTGTCGCAATCGTCTACTGCTCAGTGGTACACCCATACAAAATAGTATGGCCGAACTATGGGCTCTACTGCATTTTATTATGCCCACACTATTCGATTCGCATGATGAATTCAATGAATGGTTCTCCAAGGATATTGAATCACATGCTGAAAACAAGACTGGTATTGATGAGAAACAAATCTCACGTTTACATATGATTCTAAAACCCTTCATGTTGAGACGTATCAAAAAGGATGTGGAGAATGAATTATCAGATAAAATAGAAATTATGGTCTATTGTCCGCTGACCATACGCCAGAAGCTTTTGTATATGGCATTGAAACAGAAAATCCGCATTGAAGATCTTTTGAATTTGACACGTGGTGGAGGTGGTACCACCGGCGATGGCAGTCATCATATTGATCGCAATTTTACTTCGAATTTAATGAATCTCGTAATGCAATTTCGTAAAGTTTGCAACCATCCGGAGTTGTTTGAACGACGCGATGCCAAGAGTCCATTTGTTATGAAATGTCAGGAATATGTCATACCACGTTTGGTCTTCGATGATGGGCTGCTTTATCGAGCGCTGCCAAGTCAAAGGCATTTACTATACAATCGGTAAGTATAAGGTTTATATACAAGATCAAAAAGTCTGTCAGAGCCATGATCGTGGATTTTCGAAGCAAAGTATCAATTTAAAGAGCCTTTGAAATTTCAATCTTGGCTTTGTCAAAGATCATCTTTAATTACCAACTGATCTCCATTTTAGCCTTTTCAGAGAACATATTTTGGGGACAATAGACCTTCTATCGTGTCCTTGTTAAATAGAATTTTTGAGAGCAACAGACCATCAAACGATAATTTTTTATAGAATAATTTTGTAAGGACCAACAGACGTTCAGTCACGCCTTTTCAAAGAATATTTTTAACGACCAACTGAGCTTAAATCCTGTCTTTTGAAAAGAATATTTTTCAAAAGTCCAAGAGATTTTCAAAGCCGACAGTTTTAATGAATATTTTTCAGAGGCCAAATACCTTAACTTTTTTTAAGGAATATTTTCCAAGAGCCAGTACATCTTCAATCGCGGATATTTTAAGGATTTTTGATGGCGAGACGAGTTGAAGGTAGTCTCTATAGACGGGATGAAAGGAAACTCTTTAGACGAGTTGAACGGAGACTCTCTAGACGAGTTGAAAGGAGACTCTCTAGACGAGTTGAACGGAGACTCTATAGACGAGTTAAAAGGAGTCTCTCTATACTAGTTGAAGGTAGTCTCTATAGACAAGTTGAAAGGAGACTCTCTAGACGAGTTGAAAGGAGTCTCTCTAGACTAGTTGAAGGGAGTCTCCCTAGACAAGTTACATATTTTTTTTTAGATGTCAATAAATCTTCAATTATGCCTTTTCAAAGAATATTTTTCAAGTGCCAACCGACATCCAATTGCCGCTTTTATAATAAATATTTTCCTTTTCATTTCAGTTTTTCCATTTTCAAAGCTGATTACTCACACCATTCCCTGTTCCAAGAACCAAAGTCACCCGGAACTCAACGTAAACCCCATGAGAATTATGCACGTTATATAGACTTAAATGTTGCCAATGAAGGCTGCTTTAGTTTCACTCGACTCTGTGATATATCACCTAAAGATTTGGAAGACACGACCATAAATGGTTTGATAACATTGCTACAACATTATCGCCGTAAAGTATTATTTCAACAATTGCTGGCCTATCGACGAGAATGGTGGTCAGCAGATTATAAAGCAACACGGTTTCAGTTATTGGAACCAACTCTGGAGAATCCTTTAAATAAAAACTATCTCTGTGAAAATAGTGTATTGAGGCAGCTAATATTTACGGGATTGGTAAGATTCTATTCATTTTTCCTTCGTTCCAAAATCGTTAAAATTTCTCTCTTTTCCAGACCTCCAAAGAAAGTTCCATCTATGCCTTTGGCGATTACAAAACCAGCAACATGCAAGAAACCATTGAACATCGTGTCATACGTAGCAAATACAAACAAAATATCGAAGAAGCTGAAATTAAAAATGAAATGCTTGATGAGGCTGAATCGGAGTTGATTATGAACACTGCTGGTGGATCATCGAATAATACCAAGAAACTTTCCAAAGAACCTTTACGTTTACTGCCCGAATTTGAACACAAAAGACGTTTACCTCAATACTATCAATGTGAACCATTGGATATGCCTCGTTTCCTATATGGGCTGAATCAGAAAGTCAATAGCTATAATCGTTATTTGTAGTAAGTTGAGAAATTTGTTTATCATAGAGAATTTTGTAATTCAATACGGACATTTTTAGTTGTGAAAGCCGTGCAGCTGCCTGGTCTCACATACGACACCTGCATTGCGAAAATCGTGACGGCTTAGAAGTTGTCAATTCTGGAATGGAATTACTTACACCCAAATTTGGTTGGTCTTCAATCATAATACCCGATAAGGAAACTCTAATATCAGATGCTGGCAAATTATCAGTGTTGGATAGTTTATTGACCCGTCTCAAGGCTGAAGGTCATCGTGTGTTGATCTATTCACAAATGACCAAAATGATTGATTTATTGGAGGTAAGAAAAAAGAAACAAACACAAAGCATGTTATGTTTGGAGATTTTGGGAGTCTGAGTACTGAATTAGCCTTTGGGGAGATGTTCAAACAAGGCGAATGGAATCTTTATGGATGAAGTGTAAAGTTTGCCTTAATAGACGAAGGGAGTCTTTATAGGCGAGCTATGAAGGGAGCCTTTGTTGACTAGCTACGAAGTGAGTCTTCGATAGACGAGCTGTAAAGTAAGTCTTCTATAGTCAAGCAGTGGTTTGAGTCCTTACAGATTCGGGAGTCTTCTATAGACTAGCTGAAGGGATACAGTTTATTTTTGTAGACGAGCCAAAGGTGTCTTTTGTAGACGAGCCGGTAGGAGTATTTTTATTCGAACCGAAGGACATATTTTTTAGGCGACCTGAAGAGAGTGTTTACAGACGAGCTGAAAGCATTCTGTTTCGAATAGTCGGGAGTCATGATATTTAGACGAGCTGTGGGGGCTTTTTAGATTTGGTAAAGAAGGACCTTTTTAGACGAGCCAGTGGAAAGTATTCTATATACGATAAAATTGCCTTTTTTACGAGTTGTTAGGCTTTTTATACATGAACTGAATGCTGCCTTTTCGGACGAACTGAAGGGCTTATTTTCAGAGGAGTTAAAGCTCCTTTTCAAACGAGCCGAAGGTCATCTTTTCAGACGATCTGAAAAATGTATTTTGAGGTGATGTGAAGGAAGTCTTTTCTGAGGTTTTGAAGGCAGCCTTTTCCGACGAGCTGTAGGTTGCCCTTTCCAAGGAGTTGAAGGCTGTCCTATCAGATAACCGTAACCGTAGTAAGGCCAAATTTTCCAAAGAGCTGAAGGTTGTCTTTTTTGAGACGAACTGGAGGAAGTTCTAAGGTGTGCTGAATAGATTATTTTCGGAACAGCTGAGAGGAATATTTAACGACGAGCTCAAGCCAGTCTTTACAGACAATATGAAGGGGGGCTTTATAGATCCGTTTAAGGGAGTCTTTATAGACGAGCTGAAGGTATACTTAGTCTCCGGTGGGAGACTTAATAGACGATCAGATTATAGTCTTTATGAACGAACCAATCTTTAAAAACGAGTCTCTTAAGGGAAGTATGGGAAGTCTTTCAAGACGTAATGAAAGGGGACTTTCAAACCGAGTGGAAAGGAGTCCTTCACCATCAGTTGAAAGGAGTTCTTCAAGATGAGTTGAATGGAGTCTTACAAGACGAGTTGAAAAAAATTCTCAAAAGATGTATTGAATGGTGTCTTCCAACACGAGTTGAAAGGAGTCCTTCAAGACGAGTTCAATGGAGTATTTCGCGACGAGATAGAAGTAGTCTTTCAAAACGAGTTGAAAGGAATCTTTCAAGACGAATTGAAAGGATTCTATCAATACGAGTTGAAAGGAGTCTTTCAAGGCGAGTTGAAAAGAGCCTTTTGAATTGTAGTGACCAATTCCAATTTTGCCGACATTGGTGGTCTTACCGAGTATTTAACTGACCCAAATCCGTTTATTGTAGGACTTTCAACCAAGCTAATATTAGTGAGTGGTTGTGAGTGTAGACGACCTAAACAGAAATACACGTATTGAAGTGCCTTGCAAAATTTCACCTTGTGGTGTGAACTTAAAGCAATTTCATGTCTGTTTCGGCGTGAGATCAAACTCATCCAAGTCCTAAGTGCAGTTTTCCTCCCGGGTTTGCAGATACTATTGCCTTTTGACATTAACCAAACCATTGATGGCAAGGCCAAAATTCTTCGAACTCGAGCAGATTAGGTATCGGTTTGGAGATTGTGGGCTTTGTCTACCGAAAACCATCAGAATACGACCCGACTCCTGCCGACAATTGCTTTTTATGTGGAGTATTTTTTTTTTTTTTTTTTGAGTAATACAGTAGTTAGTTCTATCTGCCCGATAGAATGCAATGGAAGGCATTGGAGACTATGAAACTCCTACTACAAAAGATACAATATATCGCAGATAGTCTTCCCTTTAGAGACTGTTATTGATTTGGAAATACCAGTTTCTTTCTCGATTTGCCCGATCTGGTGACTTGGGATTCTCTTATTGACAAAGTGAGTCCGAGCGGTAGTTTTATTTTTTGGAAGTATTTTGGCTGCCTTTAAAACATGTTGCTGATTTTTTCATGATTTTGATTTTCAAGAATTTTCCTTTAGAGCCCGAAATATCATTCTGAAGGTACTTTAAGCCCTTCGATTGCCAAAATCAGCATGTAAGTCCGTCTGAGTAGTGGTTTTTTGTACCATAACAATCCTGAGCGGTAGTTTAATTTTTTTGGGAGTGTTTTGGTTGTTGGCTGTCTTTAAAGCATGGCGCTGTGATTTTAAGGCTTGAATCGAATGGGGTCTAGAAACATGATTTTGAAGAATTACCTTTAGAGCTCGAATTGCTATGCTGTAGGTACTTTGATCCCTTCCTGTGAATGCGTCTGAGTAGTGGTTTCTTGTACCATTTGGACATTTTTCAGAGGAAAAAACTTGTTAATTTAAGTTTATCTTAAAATATGAAACTTAAAACTAATTTTTCTTATTTCTTACAGGAATACATGTGGCATCGTAAACATCGTTACATGCGTCTGGATGGTTCCAGTAAAATTTCGGCTCGCCGTGATATGGTAGCTGATTTCCAATCTCGTCAGGATATTTTCGTATTTTTACTGTCCACAAGGGCAGGTGGTTTGGGTATTAATCTTACTGCAGCTGATACGGTAAGTACCAAATTCCAATTTTTCTATCTCGGAGAGCTAGTTTACATGTCAGTATAGTGTCAAGATTAAAGTGATTTTTTCACATATTTATAGCACACTTATAGGCGCCCCACACAATTTGAAGCTAATAAGAAACGCATTGATTATAGAATGAGTGTAAATATAAGTATGTTATAAAAAATATGGTTTATGTAGCATAGCGTTTTTCAAGTTTCAACATTGTTGGGAGCGCTTAAAAATATCCTCTAAAAGTGCTTAGTATAAAAAAGTGAATAAGGTCACTTTAAATATGGTTCTAATATGACTTATTAATCAGACCTCTAAGGCTAGTTTGCACATCATTTTAGAGCCATATGTAAAGTAACTTCTTACGATTTTTAGAGCATAATTTTAGGCGTATATTAATTATTTATCAATTTATATTGCAATGAAGAAGTATAGTACAAAGTATATAACACTAAAAAGTATGCTATAAAAATGGCAAATACAAACATGAAAACAGTTCCTTAGACCCTTGTCTGAGAAGTGATGCAATGAACAGGTTTTTATCTGCATATCTTAGATCTATAATTTCCTAAGAGATTCTGATATCCCTTAATATCAGATGAATGCAATTGAAAAAGTTATTTTTATCTTAAGAATATCTCAAAACAGAATCCCTTTCAAAATCTTCTCACACTTTGTGGCATTGAATGATGATGGTACAAAGTCCCTGACAAAAAAAAAAAAAACATCTACCAAACATTCTAAAAATACAAATCGAATGGTGTGTGCTTTTTTTTGAAATATTGTGGCAAGCGAAACAAATGACTTCTATGTTTTTTCCCTCGCCGCAACATTGATTTCGAATAACTATAGCATGAAACAACGGAAATTTGCAATGAATTGGTCACAGAAAGTCAAACAAAAAACCAAAACATCCATAAAAACAGCAATCATGAGAATCAGTAAAAAAAACAGCAGCAGCAAACAATGAAATATTGAAAGTCAAATTCTAAAACCAAACGTACAATTACTAAACACAAGACTAAAAACCGAGAAGTTTTTAGGGGGACACACATTAGCGGATGAATGAATGAATGAAGGCATCTTGACTGGGTTTTTTTTCGGGCTACATACGAGGGGCGTTGAAAGAGTGGTTCGTAGATGACATTACTTAGTTATCAAGAATCACTCCTTTGAAACATCCTTTCAAGTCGTTATGAAGATTGATTCCTTTTCAAGTCAAAAGGAGGAAGATAGACCATTTTTCAAGTCGTATATGGAGGTAAACTCCCTTTAATTCGGAAGATTGACTCCTTTTCAAGTCAAGTGGAGGAAGATAGACTATTTTTCATGTCGTATATGGAGGTAAGCCCCCTATTAATTCGGCGCCTATGGAAATAGACTTCTTTTTAGGTTGTATATGAAGGTAGACTTCTTTTCAAGTTGCCTAAGCTAGACTTCGTCATGGAGATAGACTTTTTTTCAAGTTGGCGTTTCTGGCGTTCTCAAGTCTAAGATAGAATTTTTCCAAGATGGTGATATACACCTTTTTAAGGTGACGCCTATTTAAATATACTATGTTTCAAGTCTTCGTCTAAGGAAGTAGATCCCTACTCGAATCATTTATGGAAAAATAATCCTTTTTTAAGTCGGCGCCTATGGAGATAGACTACATTTTAAGCCTGTGTTTAGGGAATTAGCTCCCTGTGTGAATCATTTATGGATATATATTCCTTTTCAAGTCTAAGTCTATGGATATAGATTTCTTTTGAGGTCAACGTCCATGGAGAAAACACCTTTTCAAGTCTGCCCCAATGGAGGCAACTCTCTGCTCAAATCGTTCATGAATATTGACTTTTTTTGAGTTAGCGCCTTTCAGAAAGATTAGATCCCTTCTCGAATCATTTATGGAAATAGACTCTTTTTCTACGCGACTTCTATGGAAGTCGTCTATGGAATTAGGTGCCTGCTCGAATCATTTATGGATATATAATCTTTTTTAAGTCTACGTCTTTGGATATAGACTTCTTTTCAGGACAACGTCTATGGAAATAAGCCCACTTTCTAGTCTATGCTCGAATAATTAATGAAGATTGACTTCATTTCGGCGCCTGTGAGAAAGATGTTTTTCCAAGTAGCCTATGGTAATGGACACATTTTCAAGTCGATATCTATGTAGATAGACTGTATAAAGTCGGCGACCATGGAGATAGACGTCTGTGGAGAAACAGACTTCTTTTAGAGTAGTGTATGGAGATATATATGTCATTCTATGTCGTTTATGGATACATACAGGGTGAGATAAAAAAACTGCAACAAAGTCAAACGCCATGATTTTTACATTTTTTTTTTAATTTTATTGAATGAAAGCAAAAAATGTCGGAAATAGCATCAAATTTTAGAATAAGTTTAGATATGTTCGAATTGGTCACCTTTGGCACGAATTATGGCTTTCAAACAACAATGGCCACTGAAACCGTCACACGCTGCCCAAATATTGCTCTGCGGTATTTTGGCACATTCCCGACGAAGCGCTAGCTTGAGGTGATCGACACTTTGGTATTTTTTAGTGCCAACCTTGTTTTCAAAAATACTCCAGACACAATAGTCCAACGGATTGGTATCCGGAGATTTTGGTAGCAATTGTGCGCTGGAAATGAAGCGAGGAACCTCATTTTGTAACCATTCTTGGTTGGCGCGTGCTGAGTGCGATAGTGCTGAGTTCTGTTGGAATGTCCAAGGTCTGCGGCCAAAATGTTTGGGTGCCCAAGGCTTTAATACACCCTACAAAATATTATCGCGATATTATTCGGCATTTATTCTCATGTCACGGTCGATTAATACGAGCGGAGAGCGACCGTCGGCTGTTATGGCGGCCCACCCCATCACTATGGCCGGCGTTTGAGTTTAGGTGGCCAACCGAAGGTGCACAGTCTCAGCTGACCTCTTTGGCAAGTAAACACGATGATTTTGTTTGTTTACAAACTGCTGGACAACGAATGTTTTCTCATCGGAGAAAACCAAATTCGGCAGTTTACCACTCTTGGCCAAGGTGTGTAAGTTCTTGCACTTTTTGGAATTTCAATGGCTTTACCCCGAGCTCATTTTTCAATATTTGCCTAATTAAATATTGCGATATTTTCAGCTCACGAGCCATTTTTCGGCCACTGCGACGCGGGTTTTGATCAAGTTGCTTCTTTACTTTTCGAACCATTTCTGTTTATGTTGCTGTTTTCTTCCGTCCACTTCCTTGACGTCGGTCTACGCTATACACCTATATTCGGTATTTCGATGATTTTAGCTACATTTTCACAGAATTTTTTCTTAAGTTTTGTATATGAATATTGTAATGCAGGTCCACGTCTTCGTATAGACCACAATATAACGGCTACATTCGGTATTTTTAAGATTTTTAACGGTTTTTTTTATACCCTCCACCATACTACGGAGGGTATATTAATTTTGTCATTCCGTTTGTAACTCCTCGAAATACTCATGTCAGACCCAACAAAGTATATATATTCTTGATCAGCGTAAAATTCTAAGACCATGTCCGTCTGTCTGTTGTAATCACGCTATCTTTCGAACAAATTAAGATAGAATGCTAAAATCTTGCATACATGTATATTTTGCCAGTAGGCAGGTTAAGTTCGTAAATGGGCCATGTAGGTCCAAGTTATCATATAGCCCCCATATAACGGTACCTCCCGATATTCGGTATTTTGATGATTTTAGCGACATTATTCACAGGAATTGTTTCAAATTTGGCATTTGAAGTTGGTAATGGATACTACAGCCCAAGAGAGAAAATTATCTGTGCAGGTCCACGTTTTCGTATAGCCCCCATATAACGGTACCTCCCGATATTCGGTATTTTGATGATTTTAGCGACATTATTTACCGGGATTGTTTCAAATTTCGCATGTGAAGTTCGTAATGGATACTTCAGCCGTGCCAGAAAATTGTCTGTGCAGGTCCACTTCTTCGTATAGCCCCCAACGGTACCCCCTATATTCGGTATTTTGATGATTTTAGCTACATTATAAACAGATTTTTCTTCAAGTTTCGCATTTAAATATTGTAATAACTTATGACAAAAGTTGCCTATGCACGTCCACGTCGTCGTATAGGCATTCTGTATTTTTAAGATTTTAACAGAATTTTTAACGGATTTTATTTTTTTTTTCTTTGGAAATTGCCAAATTTGTACCAAATGGTGGAGGGTATTAAAAGTTCGGCCCGGCCGAACTTACAGCTTTTTTACTTGTTTCTTTTTTTTTTTAATTAGCCAAATTCTTTCCAAATGATGGAAAGTTCGCCCCGGCCGCACTTACTGATTTTTTACTTGTTAATGTTGCCAATGGAGAGAGGGACTTCTTTTCTAATCATTTATGGATAAGGCCCCATATTTTCTATAGACATTCCCAGTCCTCCTCTACCATTAGTTTGTTGATTTCCCAAACTTTTCTTCCCTCCCTCGTTTATGATTTCATATCGTTGCTGTTTTTTTGCCCACATCCCAAAAGAACACACAAATCAGAACATACATTATCAACATCGAGTTAATGTTACCGCAATCATACAATACAATGTCGCCAAACTTGTGAACATAATCGATACGTTTAAAATTAGGCGGAGAGGGCAGAAGTTCGAGATACGAACTTCTTCTCCAGCAACAGACATGAGAAACCAGCCATCAACAGACATGTAAGTGTAGAGTGGAAACCAAAATCTCAGGGCAAAGCAACAATGCCATTCTATGGGAGATAAAACATATTTTAGACGATTATTTTCATCTTCTTCTTAAATGTTGATTTAGTGTGTTGTTGTTGTTATTGCTGCTCAGAACTAAATTGTACCACAGCCAAGAAGAAGAACCACTTTAGACAATATAAGAGTCTTTTGGGCTTCCTCCATAACTGTCTGTTAGTTATCCTCTTGCTAGGCTGGATGGCTGGTTAACTGGTTGCCAGTCCGACTCATTGATTTGTTGGTGGTAGGTATTTAGCAGAGAG